CGACCCGTTGAGAGACGACTTGGAACGTTCCGCTACTTCTTCGCGACGAGGTTGTTGATGGTGTCGATCAGCGCGCTGGTCCTGGCAGTGTTGTTGACCGTGGGCTGGTCGCCCGTCCTCGTATTCCAATGTCGTCGGTCGAGCGTCTTCTCGACATCTACGTATAGGGTCTTGTCCAGCTGTCGCTTCCATCCGGACGAGCTGGCTGCGCTGGGCGGTTGCTCCATGCCGGCGTCCTTGATAGCCTGCCAGGTCCTCTGGATGCAACTTGATTGCGGGGTGGCCCGCGGCGCTCGTGGTGAGCTTCTGGGTGGCGCTCCCGATGCGGATCTGGCCCTTCAGAGAGAAATGTCGATCTTGGAAGGCTGGATGAAGTCGCGGCCGATGAGCAGACCCAGCGCGGGGCTGTCCACGACGCTGAACACGGCGCGGCCAGCCTGGCCGCACAGCACAAGCGGCGCGGTGACGCGCAGCCTGCTTGGGAGAGCACCTCCGTAGCCAAACCTGTAGACCTCGTGAGAATGTCTTCGTAGTTGTCGTACCACGTCCTGCCCGAGACGCAGAAAAGGCTGGCTGTGTCGACCGCGCCGCCGCCTTCGCCCGCGGGCCTGTCACTGCCGGTCGCGACGTTCACGTTCGGCAGGTGGTAAATGAGCCGCCGCTCCGAGAGGCATTCTCTGGGGGCGGCGTGACTGGCCCCTGCGGGTGCACGGCGATCTCCTCGTCCGCGAACTGGACCTGCTCGGCGATGTGCGCCTGGCGCTGAGGGCGGCCTCCGCGACCCCCTCGCCCGCCGCCCTTTGACTTGCCGATTTTTGGGCGCGAACTTGCGTGCGCCTGGCGCGGGGCGCTCCACGCCCCCTGTCCAGTGTCCTGTCTCGCCGCCGTCCAAGCAAGAAGTGCCCCTCTTGCGCTGGTCGACCCGGCCCTGTAGCCTGGTCGGGCGGCGGGGCGGTGCGGACCTCGATTTGCCGCGGCCCTCGAGGGCTTCCTGGGCCGATCGAATGGCGGCCACGGCCCCGGGTATAATGGCAAGTTCCGCTGCGGCAGCTTCGACTTTGGCAGAGACGTCGCCGGCGAACAGCTCGGAAATGTCTACGTTGGCGGACTCGAGCTCGGCGCTGAAAGCCTCGAGCTCCTGGCGAACGATGTCCTGGGCGTCGGTCTCGCCCTCGTCGCCCTCCTCTTGCTCTTCGTCGTTCTCGTCGCCCAGCTCGTCGACGACGTTGGTGGGGCGCCCCGCGCGGCTGGAGCAAACGTTGCTGCGCCAGTCGCCTGGCGAGCGCGACTGGTTGGCCCATGACCTCGGCGGGGGGGCGCGGCGCTCCGACGCGTGGATGTCCGGGGACATCCTGACCGGCAGCCCGCGGACGCTGGTAGCTGTGGTGCTCGTCGGGGAGGTTGCCCGCGACGCGCTCGCGGCGCTCTGCCGCGAGCCCAGCCTTGCGCAGCCGGAACCATCCCGCCACGTCGTCCAGCGCGTTGAGCTCTTGAGGTCCACCTCGTTGTCGCGTAGCTGCTGCAGTCCAATCTCGAACCGGATGAGCCAGTCCGCCATGCGTTCACCTCGTCGTCGGTGATGTTGAGCCGACTCGAAGAACTTCTCGAGGGTCTCGCCCTTCTGCGCACGGGCTTCTGCTGACCCAAACTAGCCTCCAGGTGTTGTAGCGCATTCTCGATGCCGACCTGGTTCCTATTGCGCTTCTTCTCATCGGGGTATTCGATGTCCGCCGCGGCTGCTGGGTGCAGCTGAGCCCCCGTCATATTCAATGCTGCGCCGCGGGCAGTCCCACTTGGCTTCAGCACGAGCTTCGATGCGAGACTGTGGGCCACGGCGAGGTTCTCACTGAGCTCCCAGAGCTTGACCTCCTGTTTGTAATCTCTCCACTTTGCCGGATCGCCATTCCATGTAGGGATGGCGCTGTACGCATAGTTGTCCGTCATGTTGTCGAAAATGAAATGATGAGCCGCGTCGCTGAAACGGGCGTCGAAAAAGAAGTAGCTGTCGATGCTGGCGTCGTTGACGCTGGCGTCGGGGAAGTAGGCGTTGATGCTGGCGTCGCTGACGCTGGCGTAGGAGAAGTAGGCGCCGCTTGCGTCGCTGACGCTGGGCTGGGAGAAGTAGGCGTTGAAGCTTGCGTCGCTGGCGCCAGGCTGGGAAGTAGGCGTTGAAGCTTGCGTCGCTGACGCTTGGCTGGGAGAAGTAGGCGTTGAAGCTTGCGTCGCTGGCGCTTGTCTGGGAGAAGTAGGCGAAGTAGTCGTTGACGACGGCGTCGCTGGCGCTGTCGTGAGAGAAGTAGGCGTGGATGTCGGCGTCGCTGACGCTGACGTGCGGGAAGTAGGCGCTGGAGGCGTAGATGACGGCGTCGCTGACGCTGTCGTAAGAGCTGGCAGGGTAGGCGTAGATGTCGGCGTCGCTGACGCTGACGTGGGCGATGCTAGCGTCGCTGACGCTGGCGAAGGCGCTGAGCAACAGCGCGACCAGGCTAGTCAGGAAGCCGCTGGGCTTTGATTCGGGAAGGCGTGTCGCAGACGCCGTCTTGCGGCATGTACGGCGCGCAGCGCCGGGATAGCGGAACGGCCTCGCTCCAAGCTACCACTGTGATGTGGATGGCGCGCGCGGCGCGACGATCTTTGGGCGAAAGAGAGCGCTGCTCGATCAATCCGCGTAGCACTAAGGCCAAGGGCCCTGAGAAATAAAAGCGGCAGCGGCGAGCAAAGGATGAAACCGCAGGCCCCTCAAGGCTTCTGGGGGAACCCTCTCGGGCCTTTTACATTCCTGGGGGATGAGCTTGAGTCACAGGCTTGTGAACCACCAATCAATGGAATGCAATTCAAACACGGGCACCTCATTCGTGGCAAGAATATTCGGATGATCCGTAAAATGAATTATGGCCACGCTGGCACCATGGCATTCGTGGCCGCTTGCACGTTTTAGCGGGCCTGTGCCCATTATGAATTATAAGGTTGCCCAACATGGTCGACTGCCGGCCAAACCAGCTGGTTTCAACATCCTTCAACACTGGCCGCTCGCATTGACATCACAAGAATTCGTTCCTCTATCCACACCTTGTCCATGGTTGCTCGTGCTCGTGCCCATTGCTGGAACGCGATGCTTACTGGTACTGAAAATGTGAGTGAGAATGTGTCCGAAGCAATGTTCCACGTGCCTGAACCCAGCTCGCTTTCTCATAACAGCGTCTAGTTCCCTCGACTTGCATGTCGTACTTAGTTGCGCAATCAAAATCATATCAGTCACATGGCTAGGCATAACGATTGGAACACCTACTGGGTGGCAAAGCAACTCGGCGGCTGCGTGGGCGGCTTTATCACTGGTCCTGTTTTGACAACTGAGCCTCTGGAGAACGCATCATGCCCGTAACGGCCATGACCCTCAACATCTTGACTTCCGGCTGGTGAGCATCTATTTCCCAACGTGCCCTCCTGAACGCCTGTGATGCATCACGCAGGTGGGGGCGGCGATCCTGCTTGACAGCTTCAGCGCGAATGCACGCCCATAAGTCTCACCTGCGTCCTCTTCGATCCCCCTCCTCGCTCCCCCCTCCTCATCCGTTCTTCCTCCATCTCCTCGTTTTACTCGTTCTCCTCCTCTTGTCCACCACACCCATGCGAGTCGGGGGTTTACCCATATCCACCGCCTGGGAACCGACGTCCTGGTGCCCCAGCGGGCGGTGGATCTGGATACTTCGGCCCCCGGGGGCCCGAATATGTCCATATCCACCGCCTGCCGAGGCTCCGAAAACCGACCCTCCAGGCGGTGACCATGTATACATTCCCGCCTCGGAATCAGCACCACCCCCACCTGTGCTCGGGAGCTGCCGGCGGGCGCTCGGTGCGGCACCCCCCTCTCGGCGACGCACAGAGGCCCTCGTGCGCCGCATGAGGGGCCGCCATCTCGTCGAAGCTCCGCATGTCCAGGCACCCTTCCCTCCAAATCCCGGCTGCAGCTGCGCAGTGGCACTGGGGCCGCACATCCACACGGCGGACACTCGTCAGGTCTGGGGCAGCTCCTCGGGCAGCCGGAGGACATGGTCCGGGCTCGTCCACCCCGAGCGCTCTCCACAGCTGTGCAGAACGGCCCAGTCTCGTGCTGGGCTTGTGCCCGAGACGCTTCCAGCACAGCCAGGGGGGGGTCGCTGCACTCCCTCCGGGAAGGTCTATCTGGAATCCCCTCCGAAAGGGGGGATCCCGCCGAGAGCGCGAACGGCCTGGCCTATCCAACCTGATCGGGCTGGCACGAAGCAGCTGGGTCCTGAAGGGAACGGTTCCTGGACCCCAGGGCCATCAACCTCTTCGCCCTGGGTCGTTTTGAAACACTCCCAGTGCCTGCAGAGTGGCCAGAGAGGCAAGACATGTCTGGACCCGTTTCCCTCAGGAAGCCTTCCCTTGGATTCCGAATCAAAGCCCGGGTCTCTGGCGGCCGTTCGGGCCGATCCAGGCACTCCGGGAACGCCTTCGACGAGGCTTCCCACACGACCAGTTTCTCGTCCTGGATCGTTTCTTGACGGCCCGAGGTCCAGGTGATGATCCCGGGAGCCCGAAAACAATGACAAAAACTCCAGGACCAGTTTCGCAAAGGACCCAGTTGCTTCACGGCGACGCTGGGGGCGGCGGAGTACCCACGCTGGTCCTTGGCAGCAGCGTCAAGGACTTCGGGAGTAGACGCGCGGGTGGCGGGGAAATGCCCGCTCGCGAGATCGGCTTCTGACTTTGTGTAGTCGAACCCCAGGGGGTTGGGCAACGCTCTGTCCGTATCTGGAAGAGCTGCGTGTTCCCTGCTTCCTCCCTCATCCCGCCACAACATGATGTCCCTTGTCAATAGTATTCGTTCCTCTCATCTCCATTAATCCTCCCTCCTCGCTGTCCTTTGCTGCGCTGTCTCATCGTCGTCCTCCTATCCCATCGCTGCTTCTTCGCCTCCTCCTCCTCCTCCTTTTCCCGATGCTCCTCCTGCTCCTGCTGTGCATGAGTAGGTGGTCAGCGCGGGCAAGCTGAAGCAGCCAGCCACTGGAGGAACATGCACAATTAAATGGGTATGCGACGACGGCCCGGGGCACACCATGAGAACACTACACCGAGGTGCCGCCGCGGCGAGGACGTCAAAACCTAACCTAACGATTGCCGCCAAGATCTACGCGCCCGCGCCCAGCCAGCTGCCGTGAACCTCCTCGGCAACGAGCCCGCGGCACCGACGCCTGGAAGGCTCGCGCGCGCGAGCAGCGGCTGCCGAGGCGCCCCCCCCCGCGTGCGACGAGCGGCGAGCCAGGCCGGGCCCGGAGCCGCTGCTCAGGGGGTGGTGGTAACGGATGGGCAAAGGCAGAGGCAAGCAGGCGGTCGGGGCGGACGATGGGGCCGAATGGCCCGGGGGCGGGCATCACACGCATTCGCCTGGGAGCCTCGCCGGAGGCAGGGATCCTCGGCGCCCCTGGACACATGTACTGCCCCCCCCCCCTTGGGCTATTCGCCCCTCTCGTCGCCGCTGAGGCAGGCAGGCCGGCACCCTCTGTCGGTCAAAAAGACAAGGCCCGGCGCGGGGGGCTGGGGTGGAAGGCACCGCGGCGCCCCAGTACACGAATCCCACCAGCCCTTTGGGCGTGAGTGGTTTAGGGAGCTCTCTCTGTCCTCAACCCCCCTTCTTCCCCTTCGGGGAAGGGTTTACCCCTCCCCCTCCCCCCTCCCCCTGGGCCTGGAGAGGGCGGGCCGCGGGTGGTCAGGGGGGTCTTTTTCGACTCCTGGGAGGGCCAAAAAACGACGACCCTCACGAGGATTCTGGCCCCGTCGGGGGGATACAGAAAAAACCCGCTCCTCTTCTGTGAAACCAAAATCATTGATTTTACCATGGTTTTGGCCCCATTTTGGCCTTCTGAGGGGGCAGCGCTGCTGTTCCTTGTTCTCAAGATCATTGGTTTTACGAAAGTTTTGGGCTCATTTTGTCCTTCTCAGGGGGTAGCGCTCACTTGCGCTTCTGAGGAGGTCGCAAGAAACCCCCAAGAGGCCCCGAGATGCCCCCAGGAGGCTCCCAAGAGGCCTCCAAGAGGCTCCCAAGAGGCCCCCAAGAGGCCTCCAGAAGCTCCCAAGAGGCCCCCAAGAGGCTCCCACGAGGCCCCCAGAGCCCCCAAGAGGCTCCCAAGAGGCCCCCAAGAGGCTCCCAAGAGGCGCCCAAGAGGCCCCAAGAGGCCCCCAAGAGGCTCCCAAGAGGCCCCACGAGGAGCCCGAACGACTCACACCAGGACGAGGGGCCCGAACGACTCACACCACGAAGAGCCCGAACGACTCACACCACAAGGAGGGGCCCGAACGACTCATACCAGAACGGGGCGCCCGACCGACTCACACCACGAGGAGCCCGAACGACTCACACCGCGACGCGGGCCTCGAACGACTCACACCACGTGGAGCCCGAACGAGTCACACCAGGAGGAGGGGCAGCGCTCATACAAGCCCCCCAAGAGGGCCCCCAGAGGTCCACCAGATGGCCCCAAGAGGTCCCCAGATGGCCCACAGGAGGTCCCCAGGAGGCACCACGAGGCCTCCATGAGGCCCCGAAGATACCCCCAAGAGGTCCCCAAGAGGCCCCAAGAGGCGCCGAATACGCCCCAAGAGGCCTCCGAGCGGCTTCCAAACACATCTACCCGTTTGACTACATCATCTCGTACTACTACAACTACAACTACTCTTACGACTACTACCAGACCTACTCGAACTACTTTGAGTCCTACTACCACTAGAACTACTACCACTACTACTACTACTACTACTACTACTACTACCACTACTACTACTACTACTACTACTACTACTACTACTACTACTACCACTATGGCTACTTATTACTACTACTACTACTACTACTACTACGACTACTACTACTACTACTACTGCCACTATCACTACTTATTACTACTACCACAACTTCCATATAGACCACTGATCTAGTGACTGCCTCTGTTACTGGGGCAACTAGTGCGACGACGACGTTGACGACTACGTTTGCTACTACCGCTGATATACTGGAAATACCACTACTACTACTACTGCTACTACTACTACTACTACTACTACTACCACTACGACTACTACTCCCACTACTACTCCCACTACTACTACTACTACTACTACTACTACTACTACTACTACTACTACTACTACTACTACTACTACTACTACTACTACTACTACTACTACTACTACTACTACTACTACTACTACTACTACTACTACTACTACTACTACTACTACTACTACTACTACTACTACTACTACTACTACTACTACTACTACTACTACTACTACTACTACTACTACTACTACTACTACTACTACTACTACTACTACTACTACTACTACTACTACTACTACTACTACTACTACTACTACTACTACTACTACTACTACTACTACTACTACTACTACTACTACTACTACTACTACTACCTCTACCAGTACTACAACTGGTCCTACTGGTACTACTTCTACTACTACGACTAGGAGTCGAAGAGGAGGCAGAGGAGGAGGGGAAGAAGGCGATGGGAGGCAAGACAGAAGGCGACAGGATTTCAGTTCGTCAAGGGTAGAATGACGGAACTCAGAGTGCGCACGTCCTGGATTAGAATGCAGGTGGCGTGCGTCGTTGGGGCCCCTCGCCCTGGTGTGAGTCGTTCGGGCCCCTCCTTGTGTGAGTCGTTCGGGCCCTTCGCCGAACGACTCACACATCGAGGAAGGGCCCGAACGACTCTGACCAGGAGGGGGGGCCCGAACTACTCACACCAGGAGGAGAGCGCCGAACGAATCCACTGCACCGTGGTAGCGGCCACACCCACGGCTAAAACTGCCTGATATCCCAGTGTGGCAAAGTAGTGATACCACCCATTACTGATGCAGCGGTGTATCACAAAGTACTCCCAGTACTGGACGAGAGACTACACACCATCTCAGCCCACTGCCGGACACCTGAAGGAACCCAGCAATCACCAATAATAAGAGGCAATAGCGGCGAGTGCAGTAACCAGCACCATCACCTCAGCAGGATAACAAGCGCCAGTACAGAATACAGAAACCAATACCAGCGAACCCACGAACAGAAACTCAATCGAGGCAACATCCCGTCTCCACACTCGCTCTACCCAGAGTCATAGCGGTAAGAAGTGCACTCGGCAGTCGTGCAATACAGAGCATACACCATCGGAGCCCAATGCCGTACGCCAGTAGTAAGACTGAGACGACGCGCTCCGCGCCGTACATCATCGTCCCCAGGCTTTGCTCCACCATCCTGGATTAGAATGCAGGTGGTGCGCGTCGTTGGGGCCCCTCGCCCTGGTGTGAGTCGTTCGGGCCCCTCCTTGTGTGGGTCGTTCGGGCCCTTCGCCGAACGACTCACACATCGAAGAGGGGCCCGAACGACTCTGACCAGGAGGGGGGGCCCGAACTACTCACACCAGGAGGAGAGCACCGAACGAATCCACTGCACCGCGGTAGCGGCCACACCCACGGCTAAAACTGCCTGATATCCCAGTGTGGCAAAGTAGCGATACCACCCATTACTGATGCAGCGGTGCATCACAAGGTACTCCCAGTACTGGACGAGAGACTACTCACCATCTCAGCCCACTGCCGGACACCCGAAGGAACCCAGCAATCACCAAGAATAAAAGGCAATAGCGGCGAGTGCAGTAACCAGCACCATCACCTCAGCAGAATAACAAGCACCAGTACAGAATACAGAAACCAGTACCAGCGAACCCACGAACAGAAACTCAATTGAGGCAACATCCCGTCTCCACACTCGCTCTACCCAGAGTCATAGCGGTAAGAAGTGCACTCGACAGTCGTGCAATACAGAGCATACACCATCGGAGCCCAATGCCGTACGCCAGTAGTAAGACTGAGACGACGCGCTCCGCGCCGTACATCATCGTCCCCAGGCTTTGCTCCACCATTCGGGAATCGGTTGCAACTCGTCCAAGAACTTTCGGTCGTCGGCGGATATCGCTCCGTCGCTGCCCGGCCAGCGTTTCTCTCCGAAAAAGACGGGGGTCAGCGGGCATTGGGCCTGGTGAATGCGGCAGTGGCACTTGCACTTTCGCTTGCTCTTCTGCAGCGCTTTGCGCAGGTGGCGCACTCGTTCGTCGATGTCAGCGACGCACTCCTTGCACTGTAGCTTCTTGCGATTGTAATCCCACCAGCCCTTTGGGCGTGAGTGGTTTAGCGAGCTTTCTCTGTTCTCAATCCCCCAACCCCCTTTTTCCCCTTCGGGGAAGGGTTTACCCCTCCCCCTCCCCCCTCCCCCTGGACCTGGAGAGGGGGCCCCGCGGGTCGTTGGAGGGGTCTTTTTTTTCCGACTCCTGGGAGGGCCAAAAAACGACGACCCTCACGAGGATTCTGGCCCCGACGGGGGGGCACAGTTTGGCCCCTCTGCGCTTCGTTGAAGCAAAAATCATTGATTTTACTATGGTTTTGGCCACATTTTGGCTTTCTGAGGGGGCCGCGCTCCTCTTCCTTCATAGCAAAATCATTGATTTTACGAAGGTTTTGGGCTCATTTTGTCCTTCTCAGGAGGCAGCGCTTATTTGCGCCTCTGAGGAGGTCGCAAGAGGCCCCAAGATGGCCCCAACAGGCCCCCAGGAGGCTCCCAAGAGGCCTCCAAGAGGCCCCCAAGAGGTCCCCAAGAGGCCCCAAGAGGCCCCCAAGAGGCCCCCAAGAGGCCCCCAAGAGGCCCCAAGAGGTCCCAAGAGGCCCCCAAGAGGCCCCCAAGAGGCCCCCAAGAGGCCCCCAAGAGGCCCCAAGAGGCTCCAAGAGGCCCCCAAGAGGCCCCACGAGGAGCCCGAACGACTCACACCAGGACGAGGGGCCCGAACGACTCACACCACGAAGAGCCCGAACGACTCACACCACAAGGAGGGGCCCGAACGACTCACACCAGGACGAGGCGCCCGAACGACTCACACCACGAGGAGCCCGAACGACTCACACCACGACGCGGGCCCCGAACGACTCACACCACGAGGAGCCCGAACGAGTCACACCAGGAGGAGGGGCCCGAACGACTCACACCAGGATGAGGGGCCCGAACAACTCACACCACGAGAAGCCCGAACGACTCACACCAGGACGAAGAGCCCGAACGACTCACACCACGAAGAGCCCGAACGACTCACACCAGGAAGAAGGGCCCGAACGACTCACACCGGGACGAGAA